CTCTCTCTCTCTCTCTCTCTCTCTCTCTCTCTCTCTCTCTCTCTCTCTCTCTCTCTCTCTCACACACACACACACACACACACACACACACACACCGAACCAGTCGCCTCTTTCACTCGCCACCTACCATCTCGACCTCGTCCACCCCCCACTTCTTCCTGCGATTATCCGCACATACGACCAGCGCATATTGCCGAGTATCATTTGCCTCTCCTCCAGCCCCCCCTTCTTCCTGCTATTATCCTCACATACGACCAGCGCGTATAGCCGATCTTCATATGCCTCGTCCCATACGCCTGGGCCTAGCGCATACTGAAATGTGCCCTTTTTAAACGGAATCTGGTCGTAATCGAGCTCGGATACAACAAGGGATGTCCGCCTGTGAGTGAGGCCTCACAGCGCAGCGTAATCATGGTCGTCCTATATTTTGATAAGATAAGGTAAGCAAGCGAGCGAAGACGGAGACAAAGGTGAGCAGGAAGGAACAAGAAAGACAGAGGAGGAAAGAGATACCTTCCAATGTTCCTCTCTCTTAGGCTCTGTGGCAAATCTGATCGGTAGCGCAGAGCTATGGCGGCGCCATCTTGACGAACAAGGTCTTCGTCTTCGATTCCTTCAGTAGAATGGAGATGAATCGATGCGGTCACCTCTGCGCTCACGTCACTCACACCCGGGATGGACCAGCAGGCGATGCCCCACCAAATGCAGACCAGACCAGCCACGTGTAGGCTGTGTAGCTGCGCTAGAGCGGAAGAGTTTCTTTGTTTTTTTTTATGCATCGGGGAGGCCGGGAATCCCTCCACAATAGACCAAATTCCAGCACAAGCTGAAGCTGGCCTCCTATCTTTGGGCATCGCCACACCGCTCTCGAAATGTGCAAAATGAGAATGACTTCCCGCTAGAACATGGCCAGATGCACCCGGAAAACCTTTCCGCTAGAACATGGCCAGATGCACCCGCCACATTTTTCACTTTCTCAAATTTCTGACAGTGGTGTGGCGAGGCGCTTTGTAAGGGGCTGGCCACACAGCCTTTCGAACAAGGGCGTTTTTCGAAAGGTGTCAGTCAGACTTTTTTTTTTTTTTTTTTTAATTAATTAATTTATTTTTATTTTATTTTTTCAAAGAAATCGGCGTTTATATTGGCCGGGGACCTCACAATTCCACCCGGATGTTATCCCGGCAGCCTCAGCCGGTTTAGCTTTTGACAGGACCCAGGGGGGACCCGAAGACGGACACATTTCGACAAACAGAGACTACTAACGAAGACTATGCTGCTAGTTTTATTCTGACTCCAGCTGTGTCTAAATCCTATATCTGCTTCATTTATCTACTGTTCACCTCTAGCTTGGGTTGCCAGACAGTGTGGCATGAGTGTAAGAGAGAAGGCAATATGCGAGGGTGTATACAGGGGGGAAGGGGGAGAAGGAGGTGGGTAGTAAGAGGAGGGGGGAGCGGGTATGAGGGGGAATAGGTAAGGGCACTTTGGGGGGGGGAATAATTGGAATGGCTTGGGGGGTGCGGGGATAGAGTAAGCAGACCTATGAAACGGTCTGAACCCGGCCTAACTTCGACCGGGAGGAGTGGGGCGCCTTCGGCAAGGTAATGTGACGCCCTAACCTCACGCCCAGCGCGACTTCCTGATCGGAGTGGGATGTGGGCCTGGAAGTGCGAAAAGGGGTGTGCCAAGGATTTTTGGGAAGGTGGAGTCCCAGGTCAGAACTGAGATCTCCTGCGACAGGGTCTTTTCGGGGGCACGAGTGCAATTTGGCGAAGAGGGCGTTTTCGGGTTACAAGGCGGATGGCATGCGCGGTTCGCTCAAGACCGAGCGAGCCATTGGTTTCGGGGACGGTGGTTCATGGGCTGGCCCCTTCGGGGTAGGTGGGGTTCCGAGGAGTCCATCTGTCGGGAGTTGCCACGTGGCGCTGATCGTCGCGCGTGCAGGTTAGGCCTTCGGAACTCCGGGGTTCTCTGGTCGCCACGTCGTCGGCAGTTTTCGCAGGGTGTGCTGGGCCAGTAGGGGGCTATGGCCGGCCACGGAACGACACTGAGTTGATAGGACGGAAGAAGAAGGCGGAAGG